ACAGGCCCAGGCGGGGCTTGGAGGACAGGGTAGGACTGGCAAGAGTCTAAGGTGGAGCATCTCTAATCCAATGTCTAACAAAACTTTTTGAACACCATATGACGCAGCAAGTGGAAAATTCTACACATGGAATGATGTCCTAGTTACTTTCCTCACTGCTGGGACAATACCGACACCCACAGCTTAAAGAAGGAGAGGTTTATTTTGGCTCACGTTTTAGAGGTTTCTGTCCTTGCATGGTCAGCCAGCTCGAGAGAGCAGTGGCACGTCGGTAAGGGCTGCTGGGAGAAAGGTGCTCACCTAGGGCACAGGAAGTGAAGAGTCAAGGGAAGACGCAGGATGGAAACAGAGGACCCCAGTGACCCACCTTTTTTTACCAGGCCCTCCTAACAGCACGCCAGCTGTACGCCCTGACTTCCAGTCACCTTCCAGACTCATGAGCCAGTGGGGGCCATTTGTGATCTAAACCATGACAAATTGATTGCAGTTAAGACACAGGGGTACTGAAAATAACATATTTGAAATGACCTTCAAGCTGGACAAGGTGGCACATACCTGTAATCCCAATCTCCAGTACTGAAAAATATTCTAGAGGTGAACTAACAGACTGGTGATTTGCATATGCATTTGGGTGGGATACAGAAAGGAAAATGCCAAAGATGCCTTCTAGAACTGAGTAGTGCATGGATGATGAAAGTATGTTTTGTTTTTATTTTCCGGTACCGGGAATCAAACTCAGGACCTTGTGCTTGCCAGGAAGGTGCTGTGCCGCTGAGCTACATCCCCAGGTCCCTAAGTGAGTGGATGATGATATCATTGCCTGAGATGGCTGAATTGAAGTAACACAAAGCGAGATGGCACTTTTGGAGCTCCAAGCTGCTATTCTGCTGTGATCCAAGTCACTCACTGTCTCCCAGAGTCTGGCTTCATCTTTTATCTCCTAGAGTTAAAGATGTGTCTTGTCCACAGAAGACACTCGTGTGAACACAGGTGTAGGCAATGTATCTCCTGCAAATCCAGATGGAGAGAAGTGCTCACCCTGGCCCTTCCTAGGATCACTCTGTCGGGTGAACAGAGTGAGTGCATCCTCCTTGCAGGCTGGAGAGAGCAATGTGGGCATGTGTTACTTTATTAAACACATTTGGCTCCTTCTTCATAAAATACTGGTCTGCTTTTGTTTCTATGTTGTAGGGGAGTAGTTTAGCTTCATAGGTGGTCATCACAAGCTCTGCCTTGCAAGAACATTGTGATTTTTGCAAAGCAGAACATTTGATTTTACTTCTGTGCAGCAGGGAAATCAGAATACCATAGAGCCCAGTGTACTGCCTAGAGATTTGGGGAAGAAGAGATTTTCTTTGCCTGCAGACATGTTCACAGACACATGTCTTGGATGTCACCAGGAGGACACAAAGGGGCTGTGGTGAGACGGTGTCACCAAGCAGGGGCTGTGCAGGGAAAGTGGTTACCATAATGATCCTAAGCAAGTACTGCTTAGAAAATGCATTGTTTTCAGTGCCACAAAGCACTTTCCATAAAAGTGCTAGAGATGTTGAGCCCAAAACTGAATGTGCTGGCATTCGTGACAAAGGCTCCTTCTTCTGTTCACTCTGAACCATCACACACCTCTTGCTGTTTGTAGGCTTTTCCTCCTCAATGGACAGCGAGTTGCCCAGAGGCCTGGTGTGATCCACTCCTCTGGGCTGGCTGCCTGATCTCACCGTCTTGTACAGTGACGGAGCTCTGGTGATTTTAAACTTGGGCTCTGTCTGCGCATGTGGCTCCATCCTCCTCCAAGTTATCAATGGTTTAAACCAGGTTATTTAGCCTGTGGGCAGTGCACACAGGTGCACCTTTTTGAGGTCCTAGCTCCTAGGACATGAAGGCTAGGTGAGTGGGTCCCAGGGACACAGGTGTGACTTTCCCAGCAGGCAGAGTCCTCTGGGAAATCTAGACAGAGAGAGATGGCAGCTTGAGCATGAGTGCTGGGGACTTGGGATGGAGTGCAGGTGAGGAAGGCAGGTGGTGAAGTTTGGCTAATTTGGTCATGTGTTAACCTGCTATAGAAGAGGAGTGATATGGGCCCAGGCTGAAATCTGGATCTGAGCTGGATTTACTATGTAGGAGTCTGAGAACTTGGCACTTGTTTTCCTTTTTGCAGGCAAATACCCTACACCTGAGCAACATCTCCAGTCCTTGTGAGGAGGAAGATTGGGGCATTGCCAGCTGGCTGGACAAGTGGGCGTGACCTGTCAATCATGGAGATTCAGGATACATGCTCAGAAGAACAGTTCCCAAGCCCTGCCCTTGGGACCAATCAAAAAGTGCTATCTTCAGTTCTTCTGCAAGATCAAGCAGGTTTTTGATAGGACAGCCTAGATCTGATGTCAGAATGGGGGATACAAAAGGGAGCTATTGTGCCCTCTCTTTCTTCGTGGTCTCCTCCCACTCTGCAGAAATATTTCTTTTCCTATCTTTAATAAACGTAAAACTCCTTTTTATTTTAAAGAGAATAAAAAAATAAAAACAATATAGAATTTCAAAACAAGATGACAGGAAATTAACAATGGCTATTGTATTGCATATTGTTATCTTCAAAGTAGTTGCTCAGAGTGCATCTACTTTTTTGCATGTTTCTTGACCAATTCTTCGTTCAGGACAACAAAAACCTAGAAAGAACCTCTAAAAGGAGTGTACAGTACCCCAGAGCCCCAGTAACATTTGGCCATATTCTTTAGACTGGCTGCTCTTGGGCTTCTTCACTGGCAATCTTCACTTTACCTCACATATAGCTTGACGAGTGTTAAACTAAATGGTTTACTTAAACAGCATGTGGTTATCCATTTCCCTCTGTCCTAGGAGGCACACAGGTGCATAGAATAGCATATAGGAATGTGATGGGAGCACACTTAGAATGCACTTGGTACCCCGTGTGACACAATGAGCCTACAGAGGGATCTCAGCTGGATTCCTTTCTTCCTCTGAACCACAGTAAATGCATTGCTTGTGCACTGCATCAAATAATTGTATTTCTATGGGCAAGACACTTATTTAGCTTTATGAGATAGGTGAGAAGCCCAGCATAGTGGTGCACACCTGTAATCCTGCTGTTCTTGGAGGCTGAGGCAGAAGGAATGCAAAGACCCTGGGTTTAATGTCCAGCACTATGAAAAAGAAGAGGAGGAGGAGGAGGAGGAAGAAGGAAGAGGAGGAGGAGGAAAAGGAGGAGCAGGAAAAGAAGAAGAGGAAGGAAGGAGGGGGAGGGGAGAGGGAGGAGGAGAGGCAGGGAGGCCAGCGGAAGGGGAAGGAGGAGGAGGGATAGCAGCAGTAGCAGCAGCAGCAGCAGCTGTAGCAGCTCGAGGAGCCTGAAAGACAAGAGTCATTCTTTTTACTGTAGAATAGCGAGTTTAACGGCCACGAGTGCCATCTTGCTTACGTTATGTTGGATCTGGCTTATTGTGAGACATTCATTGATTGAGGGGGGTTGTGCCATTGTTAATCCAAAGTAGTAGAAAATTATTTTTTAATATCTTCTCTTTGGCTTTTAATACTTCATGGGCTAGAAAGTGGCAGATTCATTTTCTCATTTGTTTAATTGACACAATTTATTGTGCTAGGCTCTGAGGTCTCAGCTCAGTAAGATAGAGAGAGAGGCAAAGAAAAAGTGATATATTCCATTAAAGCAATACAAACAGGCCTAGCTCTGGCTTAGAGGGAAGGAAAAATCTCACAGGAGAGGGAGTATACTGATCCAGGCCAGTCTTTGGCAGTAACAAAGAACAATCAACTCTCAGTGGCTTAACGTCCCCAAAGCCATATATACCACATATTTGGTCACAGCAGAAAAGGTTTCTGCTTACTGTAGTCAACTAGGGTCATAGGTTGACAGAATTTTTTTCTTTCTTTCTTTATTAGAGTCACTATGTAGCACAGGCTGGCTTTGAACTCACAGCAATCTTCCTGTCTCAGCTTCCTGATTGCTGGAATTACAGGCACACCAGAAGCAAGAGACCCCTTGGCCTCTTACACAAAACTAGCCAATCTGGGCTTAAAAAGTGGGCTGTTTGAAGCTAACTGGATGTGGGATTAAGGAGAGTAGAGTCAAAATGATTCCGAGGCTCGAGCTCAGGAGAAAGAGTATGATTAGGCAAAGCAATGAAGGCGAGCAAGTCCAGGAAGGAAATCTGGAGCCTGTTGGTTTCAAAGCAGGGGTCTTTATTTTTTTGTGTCAAGACAGTGGTCAGCATACAGCGCTCGCTCAGGAGCGTCGATGGATGGTGGGACTGGCGTCCAGCACCAGTGGAAATGTTCCAGAAAACCGCTGATGCACAGCGGGCGGCGCTGGGCCATGTCTACCAGGAAGGCAGGTTTGCCTATCCGAAGGCCTGGTGTGTGGGGTGAGTGTGTGTGTGTGTGTGTGTGTGTGTGTGTGTGTGTGTGTGTAGAACGCTTAAAAGAGTGCTTTGGAGCCCGACATCCCGAGGGAGAAGGGGAGAATCCCAAAGGTGGGCACTTGGAGAAGGGCGTGGTCGGCGTCTGATGACCCGGAGGAGGAGAGAGCAGGGCACAGGCCCAGCCCGGGCGCCGCTGGGAGGGCCTGTGGGGCCCCGGAGGAGGAGCTCCGGCGAGGAGGCTGGGCCCGGCGGCTCCGGCTTCTACTTGTAGAGGGGTCACAACTGAGCACTGTCACGGGGCAGGCTGGCCGAGATGGCAGATCCAGTGCAGGCCGGCTGGAGAAGCACAGGAAGGGAGAAAAGTCCGTTGAGCCCGAGGGAAGGGCCGTCCTCCGGGAGAAGCAGAAGAGAGTGAAGGAGCTTTCGTTGTTGCTGGGTTCTTACGGCCATAGTCGCGGGTCCCCTCTCCAGCTCACCTGGGGCGGGGGCGGAGCTTCCTTCGGGGGCGTGGCGTGGGCGTGGCCGGAGCGCGGCGGGCCGGGCCGTGGGCGGGACCTAGTGGTGGCCACGCCCAGAAACTACCTGCGCGGGGCAGGAAGGATGAGAGCAGAGCCGCCGCCGCGGGCCGGGCGCTGGGTCTGCCCGGGAAGTCAGCCGGATCCGCGCCCGCGCGCCCCCCGCACTCCGCGGGCCATGGCAGCCGGCTGCCGGCAGGGACCAGACCTCTGAGACCCTCGCCGGAACCCGGGCCCCGAGACCATGAAGAACGATCGCGCGCGCAAGGCTGGAGGGCCCCCCAGGGACTTCGGCGCGGGACTCAAGTACAGCTCGCGACCGGAGGAGGTGGGCGGTCCCGGCCGAGCCGGGTCGGTGGGCCAGGGTGGGGGCCCGGGATCGCCCTCCACGCGCCAGGCCGAGCGGCGGGGTTCTGCGCTCCTCCCCGCTGCCCGGTGGCCGGGCGGCGCAGGTGGAATTTCCTGTTCGGCGGGTGCCTGGCCGCTGGGCCGGGGCGTGGCGGGCCGGACCTTCAGCACCTCGGAGGTGGGGAGCTCCGGGGCCCTGGGGGCGCCCGACCGCTCCTCCCGCCTTTCCGCCCCCTCGGTTCCTTCGCTGGTCTGAAGGAAGGGGCTCCGTCTGGAGCCGTCCCTTCCCCTCGGACTGTTTCTGAATGCAGATCTGGAAGGAACCGGAGCGCCGAGCTCGGAGCGGAGTGTTTCCTGGGGTGGTGGAGATTTGTCTGTTCCTGGCCCCCGCAGGAGTTTGCTTTCTGTTTTCCGGTTCCTCGCAGTGGGCAATCTGGAGCCCAGAGCCCATGCTTGCCGCGGAGAAGAGCTGGGCGCGCAGGGCTGGTTTCGCTTCCGTATCCCGAAGGGAAAGGCCCGCCGGGAAAGTGGCTGTGTGGGCAGGTGTGTGGGAGCAAGTGTCTTGGGCCTGCTCAAGACACTGAAGCAGGAAGCTCCTCTTTGGCCGGAAGAAGAGTGAGACATCTCTTGAAAGAGTCAAACGGGGTGTTACTTTGCAAGGGAGGTGCTTAGGTGGCAGTTCTCAGGTGGGACTAGCAGCCAAGCCTATGTACCGTCTCTGTCCAGTGAGACCCCGGGTTTCCTAGCAGGCCTTCAGAGACAGCGTGTTTGGGGAATGAGGTTTGCTACTCTGCAGATGACCAAATGATGGGCCACTTTCCTGTCCAGACTCCCTCTCTTCATTTTTTTCTTTCCTTTCCTGTCCTCTTCCTCCTCTCCCCCTCTTCCTTCTCCCTTTCTCCTTCTTCTTCTTTTTCTCTTTCTTTCTTTCTTTCTTTCTTTCTTTCTTTCTTTCTTTCTTTCTTTCTTTCTTCTTTCTCTCTTTCTTTCTTTCTTTCTCTTTCTCTCTCTCTCTCTCTCTCTCTTTCTTTCTTTCTTTGTATGGTACTGGGAATTAAACCCAGGGCTTCACATTGAGCTACATCCCCCCAGCCGTTTTCACATTTTTAAAATTTTGAGATAAGCTCCCTGTTAAGTCTCCAAATTGCCCAGATTGGATTTGTAAAGTTTTTCATTTTCTTTCTTTTTTTTTTTTTTCCTTAGTACTGGGAATCGAACTCATGACCTTGTGCTTGATAGTCAGGAGCTTGAGCCCCTGAGCTATATCCCCAGCCCTCCCACCAGGTTGGATTTGAACTTACGATCCTCCTGCCTTAGCTTCTTAGAGTGTGGAGATTACAGCACCACACATCTGGGCATGCACCACCATGTCCCACCCGGCATCTGGTGTTCTTGGTTCCCGCATTAGGGTCAGGCCAGGTTTGGGAGCTGTGTCAGAATGGTGCCTTTTCTCTAAGTAGCATCCTGCTTTGGGGAGCTGGCCCAAGAGCAGATGGTGGGGCCATTTGTGGTGGGTCCCCGCCACACTCAGCAGCTGAGGCTGGGCACTGTTGTTATCTCCACTTTTCACCCCCAGTGGCCAGAGCTGCTGGCCTCGATACCCTGCCGTGGATGCTTTCTCTAGCTTCCTGTAATTGGGGTGTTTGTGAATCCTTGATAATTGCCTACTTGGGTTTCTAGACTTCTGCCTCTTTAGCAGAACCTGCTGTTTATTATTTCTCTGCCTGTCCTAACTTCCCTTTCTGGGAGTCTCCTGCTGAACTGGAAAGTGAGCCTTCCTGGATTCTGGGCTACCTTCTACAGGGCACCAGCATCCTCCCCGGGGCCACCTGGGCAGGGGCTCTTTCCATTTCTCCTTGTCTCCCACCAGCTGACTCGTTACCTGCAACCCCTCACTTCCTTATTTTCCTTCCCCCTTGGTCTCACTCATCTTCTCCTCTTTTGTGACCACATTGTGAGGTTGCTCCTTTCACTTCCAATTCTGCTGTCACCTTTCATGCCATTTCACTCTTGGTCTTTTCTCCCATCAATGAGTTCTGTTGACCCAACTGTAGTCGTGGGCCAGGTGTACCTGGAGGGGGTCATCTCAAAGATTCATACCAAGTAAGCGTTTCCCTGACGAACTTACAGATGCTGAGACTCATGCAGAAGTTAGATGTGTGACCAGTGTGGGGAGGAGGTGGTCTTAGCTCGTGCTCATTTCTCCTGGCAGGCTTCACATAATCCCCCATGCCAAACTTCAGCAGAATGCTCATTCCCTGGGCTCACGCAGCAGTGTGGTTTGTAACCTGGGTCTGTAGATGTTGCCTTGTTTTCTCTGACTGCTGCCCCTAAGGTTTGCTCTCTATGTCAGCAGAGCCTGGCTTAGATCATGCTCCAGGAGTGCTGTTGCTTTTGGATTCCTTGTTCCTGAGTTGCTTCCATTTCTTTATTTTTCTTTCTTTCTTTCTTTTTTTCTTTCTTTCTTTTTTCTTTCTTTCTTTTTTCTTTCTTTCTTTCTTTCTTTCTTTCTTTCTTTCTTTCTTTCTGTCTTTCTCTCTCTCTCTCTCTCTCTCATGTTTTGTTTGCCTTTTTTTTGACAGGATCTCACTGTGTAGTTCAGGCTGGCTTTGAATTCAGTATGTAGCCCAGACTGACCTCCAACTCGAGGTGCTCCTCCTGCCTCAGCCTCCTGCGTGCTGGGGTTACAGAAATGTGCCACTGTATCCTGTTTCCTGCTTCCATTTTGGCATCCCTGTTTGGTGATACTTGTATATCTGGTGACATCTTTTTTCAAGCCCCACTGCACTGTGCCTATAAATGGCAACTTTGCATTGCTCTGTGTCTCCAGGAGCCTGCGGAGATGGCATTTGGGGATCGTGTAAGCAGGTGTGTGGATAGCAACTATTAGAGCCATTAAAGATAATTGGGAAGCCAGGATCACTGAGCGGATCGGTCTCTGTTGAATATTGGTGTGGCTGTGAAGATGCTTTGATGTGAGCACATATAACCCGGTTGCAGTTTCCTTAGGCAGGACTCAGTATGCCTTAGCCACGAGGACCGAGGTTGGGAAATCAGATGCTGTGGAGTGAGAGAATCAGGTGTTGGGGGTTGGGCTCTACACCCTGGCCATTCAAAGTTGTTTGCTTGTTGATTGGTCAGACACTCACTGGTTTGCTTAGTTGCTCGTTGCCATAACAAACATTTACTAGGTACCCACCAACTGAGCATGGGCCTGGCACTGGGAAGCAGTGAGAAAAAGCCCAGCACACAGTGCCTGCCTTCAGGGCCCGTGTGGTATGGAGTACGTGGAGTCACATCTGCGTCATGAGCTGTAGATTCTGGATAAGCCTAGGGTGGGCACTGAGAAGGGCATCTGTGTAACCCGGCCTGGAAGTACCAGAGCAGGCGAGCCGCGTTTGAGGCATCTGATGTAGTGGCAGGAGGGTGCAGCGTGAACCCACAGCTGGATGCCGCTGCAGTGTGGACACACGGTCTCAGGTCTGAGAAATGTTACCTCATTTCAGCTTCTGTGGCTGTAAAATGGGATGATGCTATGGGCAGGTTTGCTGCAAGGATTCAAAGGGACATTTTATATGAAAGCCCTTTGTGAGTTGCAAATCATGCAGTTTGAGTTTTTGAGTTGAAAAAGACTCTGAGAACAAGAAGGTCATATATTGTGGGGTGTGAGTCAGGAGGCCAAGAACCCCACTTGCCAGGGGGCTGTGACCTTGCACCAGTGCTGGCTTGCCCTGTGGGGCACAGGATATGCTCCCCTGAGGGGTGTTGGGAGCCTGGCCTGCAGTGGAGACCCTCTTCCTGTGCTCCTTTGGTTTTCACGTCTTTCCCTTTCCCCAGCTTCAACGAGAAAGACCCTGCTGTGGAAAGCAAATGAGTAGTGGCGGCTCATGCCTTTCTCCTTCTCATCCCCACCCTCCTACAGACAGAACCTCAGCTCTATAGATTTCCTCTTTCTTTGTTCTCGTAAGCTCGTGTGGCGGGCTGAGGGAGTGGAGAGGCAGTGAGCCCTGGGACCTGGAGGGTTGTGCAGGTGTGCACTCGCAGGGCAACCTGCCTCTCCATGGCCTCGAGACCCTTTCCTCTGTGGAAGTCCTGGGAACGTCTGGAAAATCACAGCTCCACTTAGGAGTCTGGAAGACAGGTTTAGGACAAGACCGCCCTCATCCGGTAGCCCAAGTCGCCCACTGCCTGTGGGAGTCGTCAAGGGTGGGTCCGCTGGGAGCTGGCTGGGGGCTCAGGTGCCATCATCACACCCTGCAGGGCACCCAGTCTCGGCTCCCTGTCCCAGTTGGCCACTGTGGCCAGTGGCTTCTGTCCCTTGGAACCCTGTGGTTCTGGAGTTCCTCTGATGTCTATTCCTCTGCACTGTGGTTCTGCCCAGGTGGTTACCTCATGTCTGTCCTAAGACAGTCTGTTCTTGGGAGGGGAGGGAGAATGGGACTGGGTCCCCAAGGAGCCCAGATCACAAGATGTTTCTTCTGATGTTGTGCACATGACTACTGGAACATCTGGAATACTATTAAGCATTTCTGGCATGCTTGAGCATGTACTATGTTTCTCCCCTCTTGGAGGTGAGCATTCCAAGACCCTCATGGCTACCTAAATCTGAGATGCTCAAGTCTCTTATATAACTTGGTATAGAACTGTTGCTTAATGATAGACATGCCTTCCAAGACCTTTGTCCGTGATTTCCTCAGGGTGCAAACTTCATAAAGTGGACTTATATCCCCCGAACTAGGCCCTGGTGTAGCCTCCCCCGAACTAGGCCCTGGGTTGGTGCCCATGAACCTGTGGTCCATCCTTGACTGAAGGGCTGTGCGGCATACGACTGTTGGCATATTTGGTCAGCACATCCTACATATACTAAGCTGTCTTTAAATACTTACAGTCTAGTACAATGCAGATGCAGTGGGAATCATTGTTTGTTGTACCATTTAGGGGATAATGACAGAAGCATCTGCACCTGTTCAGTACACATGC